AGTCGGTATAATCTGTGGAGTGTATGTTATGTAAGTCGGTATTCTATGTGGAGTGGATGTTATGTAAGTCAGTATACTCTGTTGAGTGGTGGGTTATGTAAGTCCGTATACTCTATGTGGAGGGGTATGTTATGTAAGTCAGTATACTCTATGTGGAGTGGTATGTTATGTTAGTCGGTATACTCTGTGGAGAGGTATGTTATGTAAGTCGGTATACTCTATGTGGGGAGGTATGTTATCTAAGTCGGTATGCTCTATTTGGAGGGGTATGTTATGTAAGTCGATATACTCTATGTGGAGGGGTATGTTATGTAAGTCGGTATACTCTATGTGGAGTGGTATGTTATCTAAGTCGGTATGCTCTATTTGGAGTGGTATGTTATGTAAGTCGATATACTATGTGGAGTGGTACGTTATGTAAGTCGGTATAATCTGTGGAGTGGTATGTTATGTAAGTCAGTATGCTCTATGTGGACTCTATGTGGAGTGGTGTGTTATGTAAGTCGGGATTCTGTGTGGAGTGGATGTTATGTAAGACAGTATACTCTGTTGAGTGGTATGTTATGTAAGTCGGTATACTCTATGTGGAGTGGTATGTTATGTAAGTCAGTATAATCCATGTGGAGTGGTATGTTATGTAAGTCTGTATGCTCTATGTGGAGTGGTATGTTATGTAAGTCAGTATACTCTATGTGGAGTGGTATGTTATGTAAGTCAGTATACTCTATGTGGAGTAGTATGTTATTTTAGTCGGTATACTCTGTGGAGTGGTATGTTATGTTAGTCGGTATACTCTGTGGAGTGGTATGTTATGTAAGTCGGTATACTCTATGTGGAGTGGTATGTTATGTAAGTCGGTATACTCTGTGGAGTGGTATGTTATGTAAGTCGGTATACTCTGTGGAGTGGTATGTTATGTAAGTCGGTATACTCTGTGGAGTGGTATGTTATGTAAGTCGGTATACTCTGTGGAGTGGTATGTTATGTAAGTCGGTATACTCTGTGGAGTGGTATGTTATGTAAGTCGGTATACTCTGTGGAGTGGTATGTTATGTAAGTCGGTATACTCTGTGGAGTGGTATGTTATGTAAGTCGGTATACTCTGTGGAGTGGTATGTTATGTAAGTCGGTATACTCTGTGGAGTGGTATGTTATGTAAGTCGGTATACTCTGTGGAGTGGTATGTTATGTAAGTCGGTATACTCTGTGGAGTGGTATGTTATGTAAGTCGGTATACTCTGTGGAGTGGTATGTTATGTAAGTCGGTATACTCTATGTGGAGTGGTATGTTATGTAAGTCGGTATACTCTGTGGAGTGGTATGTTATGTAAGTCGGTATACTATGTGGAGTGGATGTTATGTAAGTCGGTATACTCTATGTGCAGTGGTATGTTATGTAAGTCGGTATAATCTGTGAAGTGGTATGTTATGTAAGTCGGTATACTATGTGGAGTGGATGTTATGCAAGTCAGTATACTCTATGTGGAGTGGTATGTTATGTAAGTCGGTATACTCTGTGGAGTGGTATGTTATGTAAGTCGGTATACTATGTGGAGTGGATGTTATGTAAGTCGGTATACTCTATGTGCAGTGGTATGTTATGTAAGTCGGTATAATCTGTGAAGTGGTATGTTATGTAAGTCGGTATACTATGTGGAGTGGATGTTATGCAAGTCAGTATACTCTATGTGGAGTGGTATGTTATGTAAGTCGGTATACTCTGTGGAGTGGTATGTTATGTAAGTCGGTATACTATGTGGAGTGGATGTTATGTAAGTCGGTATACTCTATGTGCAGTGGTATGTTATGTAAGTCGGTATAATCTGTGAAGTGGTATGTTATGTAAGTCGGTATACTATGTGGAGTGGATGTTATGCAAGTCAGTATACTCTATGTGGAGTGGTATGTTATGTAAGTCGGTATACTCTGTGGAGTGGTATGTTATGTAAGTCAGTATACTCTGTGGAGTGGTATGTTATGTAAGTCGGTATACTCTGTGGAGTGATATGTTATGTAAGTCGGTATACTCCGTGAAATGGTATGTTATGTAAGTCGGTATACTCTTTGTAGTTGTATGTTTTGTAAGTTGGTATACTCTTTGGAGTAGTATGTTATGTTAGTCGGTTTACTCCGTGAAATGGTATGTTATGTAAGTCGGTATACTATGTGGAGTGGATGTTATGTAAGTCGGTATACTCTGTGGAGTGGATGTTATGTAAGTCGGTATACTCTATGTGGAGTGGTATGTTATGTAAGCCGGTATACTCTGTGGAGTGGTATGTTATTTAAGTCGGTATACTATGTGGAGTGGATGTTATGTAAGTCAGTATACTCTGTGGAGTGTATGTTATGTAAGTCAGTATACTCTGTGGAGTGGTATGTTATGTAAGTCGGTATACTCTGTGGAGTGGTATGTTATGTAAGTCGTTATACTCTATGTAGAGTGGTATGTTATGTAAGTCGGTATACTCTGTGGAGTGGTATGTTTTGTAAGTCGGTATACTATGTGGAGTGGTATGTTATGTTAGTCGGTATACTCTGTGGAGTGGTATGTTATGTAAGTCAGTATACTCTGTGGAGTGGTATGTTATGTAAGTCGGTATTCTCCGTGAAATGGTATGTTATGTAAGTCGGTATACTCTTTGTAGTTGTATGTTATGTAAGTCGGTATACTCTGTGAAATGGTATGTTATGTAAGTCGGTATACTCTGTGGAGTGGTATGTTATGTACACAACTTTTTTTAAATTCTTCCTCTGGTTCAAATAACTTTGATTAAAATGACAATGAGTTGATATTAGTACCTACTTTCGATTGAAGGCGTACAATGTAGAGAAGATCGTAAGGACAGTAACGTAACATTAAATCCTATGGCACGGGAATGAGTTTTGATACAGTGTACTATTTGTATCACGCGCTCTTTCACAGTTACAGCTTCTTTAGCTATTTACTGGACAATTGAAATGGATATTACAACCAGTTTTTTACTTGACGATAAATATGGTTTCATAGTGGTTCATATCACACGTTGGCTATCTTAATTATATGTTATTGCACTGCAGTCCAAGTGCTAACGAAAGGGTAAATCTGACAGATCTTTAAGTGCTAACAAAAGGGTAAATCTGACATATCTTTAAGTGCTACAAAAGGGTAAATCTGACCGATCTTTAAGTGCTAACTAAAGGGTAAATCTGAAAAGATCTTTAAGTGCTAACTAAAGGGTAAATCTGACAGATCTTAGGTCAACCTTATACATTTCTTAGGCACTTATGAAACATATAACGAGACGTTATATGAGATTTACGTACGAGGTTTATGGGATGCGTCTGAACGTTTTTATTTTAGCTTTTATGTTGTGCTGGGTTAAAAAGAAAATGTCGCAATGACTTTCGTTTATTTCCTTTAATCTAAATCAGGATCTCGTGAACATGATAACCAAGCATGCATGCGAATATTCACATACAAATAAAAAAGACTGCTTTTCGGTTATCTGAACGTCTTATCTATGGTCTGTTCTGCGGAACAAAACATAGATATGGCACAAACCATTTCTATTGGATTGTTTCTACTCACAATGAGTGATATGATGGGATGTGTATTCGCGGTATCACATGACAGTCGAGACATCGTCTATTGAAGCATTATAGTGAACCATATGTGTGCATTAAGCTATAATATAAAACGCCATGTTGACTCAAGGCATTGGAACCTTCTATTCTAATCGACATTCTGAGTAAACCTAGAATTGAGGTCTCCTGTTATTGAAAGTCTCGTGAGTTGTGGAAAATAAAATCGGATGTATATCACTTTTCCAAATGTGTTTAATAATGCAACATAAGAAGTGAGCGTCAGGACGTGTAACCTATTCGTGATATTCCATATCACTACAGTAAGTCAGCACACTCCTGCACGTTTGAAGTTAACTCCAAAGTTAACCACGGTAGATGATCATTGCGCTGATCGACATAATTGCATGGCAAGTAGTTAGCCTGTCCGACCGTTTTCTCTAGAAAATATTGCATGAAGTCTAACCAAAATGTTCCGTGTTTAACTGTGACTTCAAAAATAACTAAAGCGCGTAGAGAGAGAAAAACAAACAAACGGCAAGCAAACACAGCAAGACAAACAACCCTTAATACTATTTATGTATGTAAATAACATACATTTATGTAACTATTTGCATATCAAAATTGCATATTCAGCACAGGATAAAAGTGTGATAAGAACTACATCTAAACGCAATCTACTACACAGATGTGCGCATATCCGGACCCTCATCACCGTGTCATTAACACCCCATTAACTGTGTCCCTTAATGACTCTATATGATATATAGCAAAAGACTTCATAGATGAAAAATACGTGTGTGATGGTCTTTATTTCATACTTTTTCTTAATTATCCATGTTAGTGACAACAGGAGTTGTTGATACACACGTCTGATTTAATTCATTTCAATGTATTAACTTGATGATTGATGATGACTTCCTATTTTTCGGTTTATTTAAGTATTTCGTATATGAACACATGAATGATAGTTCATTCATAAACCGAAAGCATTAAGGAACACATATATAGAATACTTGTTATTTACGGGTGAGCGCTTTTCTTTATCACGATTCACCTGACAAGTCACAGGAGGTATATTTTTTCGATAAAATTAAAAGACCTCCCGATGACAAACACCTTGTCAATGGAACGAAATCTATTTATAGTCAAAGTGATCAGCTGACTCCCCGTCTCAGTGACGATTTTCTCTGTGTTAATACGAATACCGACACGATGCATGGTGGACGTCACAGTCAGCACATGGTATGGATTTATCAAAGCTTCTGTATTCAGGTTCACTAAAACGTTGTCTCTAATATACAAGCTTACATCCATCAAAAGTATTGTACATATCGTAGAACAGTGGCTGTTGAACTGAATGTGTACAAAATTAACAACGATTTTATTGTCAACGTGTTTCGCTTAAATCAATATGTTGTTTTCTTTCTTTTCAGCACACCGCACGCTGTATGTGTGTGTTGACAGTTTCTGGACTAGGAAAGCACCGTGAATCTGAGGTAAAACTGTGAATATTACTATAAATATAATTGCTAGAGGGCTACTCTGTGTTGCAGATATCCCATATTTGTATCATGTTGGTTGAACATATTTTTTAATGTTGAGCTTTAAGTTTATCACTTAAAACCGTGTATATGTTTATGGTACATAACAGTTGTTAACATATGATTGTGTATTGCTATTTTTCAAACATTTACTCTGTAGCAGCTCTGAGTTGCTGCAGACTTTTTAGAAAAAGTGGCTGTTTTTATATAATGACAGGTCCCTAGCTTATATTCCATCATTGACAATACAAATAATATAAATAGCATACAGAATGGTAAAATACAACTAAATGTACAAATAACTAAGCCATGCGAATATTTTCTTACAATTGGTTTTATCGCATATATACGCGCTATGTTATTCCAGGTGCAACATGTAATACCAGGTGTAAAATGTACGTTTCCTATTTCAGAATACTGGAGTAAAGAAAATGGCTATCATTGCATAAAAAGTACAACCTGTGTTGATTCGCGGCTTAGTACCGTAAACACATGAAAGGAAACACGGGCTTATATGTGTTCTAACGATGTTACGTGTTATAACGTTGGTCCATCCTGCGTGGTGACAACACATTTCCTCAGCGAATTGACAGTTGACAGTATGTGAGAGTAACCTTTTACGACTACTTCTATACGATTGATGAAGCGACGTAGTTAATCAATAATACAGAGAAAATTAGGCTGATGCTTCCTTATGCCTTCCATTATGTGGTACCTGTGACGGTATACTTAACCTGTGTGATATGTGTAGACATTGTGCGAGCTGATAGGATTACTGATGGAAGTCACACGCCTGATTTGGCAAACCTCTCGACAATTCAAAATCGTTCGGACCTCATTATTACAAGGGAAACTCCTAGTTCTAATACAGTGTCTCTTAATGAAACCGGCGAATGGTTAGATGGATATCAAACAGAGTCTAAGAAGAAATCGAACCTCAACCTGGCATTTTTGCCGGGATTGGCAATTCTCTTTCTGTTCATATTTGTGTTTTTCCGTGCCTGTAAATGGTACAGAGATAGTTCAAAGATCAAAGAAAGAGGTTGCAGCTATGACGTAGCTAGCTATGTCATCTTAGTTCAAGGAGATAAGCATTTCAACGACGTAGATGTTGGTGATAATTACGACACAGTGAACTCGTATAATTCCTATTTACGGTCTGGCGCTTATGAAACGATCACGTCATCCAAATCTCTACAATATCGCATGGATTCTCAAATGTACGAAACCGTCACATCCTATTCAAACTACTTACAGAAAATTGAAAAGGAAAATAATCTTGAAATAGAAATGAAAGAGATACCATCAGATGCCAGTCCCTCACCGAAACGAACACATTTCATGAAAAAGAATGCGAAAGGTCGTGACACCAGTCAAATAAAACTACCACAGGAAAGCAGATTTTCGATCAAACCTGCTCTTGACAACTACATGAGATTAAAAGGTACTTATCAAAAATCACCGATGTCACCTAGAAGTGTTCTATACGATAGTGAAGATCGCATAGACGGAACTCCACGAAAGATAGGATCGAGAATGAACATAACGGTCAATGCTGCATATTCAGAGTCTTTTCTACAATCTGCTTCAAAGAGAAAGTTCGGACGACAAACAAGCACAGAAAGTCACAGGTCGAGCCCTGTGAGAGATGTGGCCAATGTTGTCAAATTAGCAAACCGAAGGAGAACCGTCTCCGAAGACACGTCTAGGTTAACAGAGCTGATAACCAGAGATGACATAAACAAGAAAAAATGCAACAAAATGAAAAACGACAGCAGTTTGACTTTTACAGAAGAACGCACTGAGTTTATACAAAATAACGTGTGTGATAAACTAGTACGTATGGTTGATGCTGAGACCCAGTCCGATATATCAACGTCGCCATCATCATCTTACAAACGTAGAGGTCGTTCAATGTCCCAACGTTGTGATACCGCACACGATTCCCATGCAGATTACGCTGTGACAAAAATTGAGCATGCAACGTCTGATTCTACGGCCGTGGATCAGGACCCCGAGAGGCACATAGGAGATTTACCTGTTCCTGTAATTCTAGATGATTTAAAGGACGACCTGTCACCTGCTAAGGTGAAGCCGACTGCCTTTACAGTTTGTGCAGTAGTGCATAATGTAGACGCTGTGTCGTACCCTTCACAATCTGGAAATGTTCATGACAATAATCCACAAACAAATAGGGACTCAGAAACGGAGAATCAAATGAAAAAACAGGATGTAAAGAATAACGATGATTCGATATGCTGTCAGTCAAATGGATCAATATATCATACTAATGGAACCGATGATATTTTGATCGAAAATGAAAGGCATCATTCATCCGTGTCATATGGTGAATATTTAGAGGGTCGGGATTATAGGGAAAGTGGGTGTCAAAAGGTGAATGGGACAAGTTTGCCCTGTATGTCAATGTTATCGTCCGAGGGACCAATGTTTGAGAAACACTGTCAGCTCAATCACGGGAAAGGAAACATGTCACATTGCATTGCGCGGAGACGTTCCTTTCATATCATGTCCAAATCAAATCACGAAAACGCGGTTGAAATTCAAAATGAGCTCAGTCAAGTGCAAGGAACATTTATTGAAATGGTTCATTAGATAATATCAGTCTTACAATCTTATACATTTTTAATGGAAAGCGTTTATTGGAGATGTAATAGTTCATGTATAAATTTGCATGATTTAGGTCCATTTGATTTTAAGATATTTTGGTTGTTTTAGAATACTGATTTTCTAATTTATTATGTGTTGTTTCGAATTGATACAGAAAATGTATGATACATTTTTGCCTGAGGGTGCTAAGGTTATCGTTACCGAACAAAACGTTCTAGTTTTTAAAGATACATTTGTATTAGAACATATAATAACATGAGTCTGTTTATCAAAACTGTTTATATTACAACAAGTCAGGGATTCGATGTCCCCTATCTTCAATATATTAATAGACGGTATACAATGAGACCACGTTAATTTGATCTATCAGGTAAAACGGGCAATTAATACTCCTACATTCCTACATACGAATCTGTTTACTGCTGTGGTCATGTTTCATCTTTAATCTATTCAGAGAAGGGTTATACAGCATATTTGCTTTCTAGACACAATTCGTGAGATTTCAGCGTATAATTATGTTATAAAAGGATATAATAGCTCTCTCTATCCATTCTCTATCCCTATCTCTATTTTCGCGTCTCTTTCCACCTGTAAACTAACCCTTTATATCTATCTCTCTATCCAACTCTTTATTCATCCCTTTTCCACCCTAATCTTTAAATATAAAGATCTTCATCCCTACATGCCCTTATCAACACCCATTCGATCCATTGCCACGCCTCTGTACCCCTAGGCATCTTTTCATTAACTTTACCCACACTTGTCTACGTCTACCCGACCCTCACTGCCCTTATCCAACCCTGTCTACACTATACATCACTCACTATACTTTTCTCTCTTCCCTTTTCGACCCCTCACTTCCCCCCATCCCTTCCCACCTCTGTCCATCTCCTTTACTCTTATCCATTCCTCATTACCCCTATTCTTTCCCTCAAACATTTTATACATTATCTGATAACTCCTTCTTTACCCGAATCATCCACTCTAATCCATTACCACTCATACCCCTAAAAGTCGTACGTACTTCATCTAAAACACATGTTTACTTTCAAAATTAACTTGTTAACACCCTTAGGCAGAAACGTGAGAAATGTGTATGTTACCGTCAGACACTTTTCTTGTCGTGACAAAAAGGTGTGAGCCAATTGTGTTCAACCCATTTTTTTGTTTACATATACACGTCTTCCTTTTGGAAGGACTGCCAAATATTTGTCTTCTTGTTTGCTGCATTGAAAGTCGAATATTACGTTGTAAATCATTGCGTTACGGAAGCTAACGAAAGATCTGAATGTAGATGTTAAATTCAAACTAGGTAACCATCATTTTTCGTTGTTATTCATGTCCTTGTATAAAGTATTTTTTATTCAAGACTGATGCTGCAACCTGATCATATTAAGTCAACCCGCAGTTTTCTTTATTTTGTTACTGACACCTGTTTCTGCGCGAGGTCCTTACCATGCGTTGGTAACTCAAACTCATTTCGATGCTAATACATGTTCCGAAGTAACATTTGTTATACACTTTGTTTTACCTTCGGCTTGATATGCCATTGTGTTGAGCTTCTTGACATTTTTATATCTTACCGCTATGTGAATGCAACCTGTAACTTAAAATGTACATTCGCCAACTGCATTTTCCATTTTTTTATCTATTTAAAAACTTTACATGTATAAATATATAATTTAATCTTGCTTGTAACAAGCATTTTCATTGACTTAAAAAAAATATGTTATCAGCCCATAACGTAAAAAATGACGTCGCCGTTTGAAACGTCGCTTCTGTTTGGCTGATACTGCAGCGCAATAATTTATAAGAGAAAAGAGTCCATCATTAAAAGTGGATTTTCACAGGGATTGTGTTTAGTAGATTAAATTAAGCGGTTTATGATGAGAGTGCACTCCGTTTTTTTGTGTTATACCTCCATAACATGAAAAATATATTCAAGTTAATCCTTAAATATTATTCCAAAATTTCCAGAATATGGTCAATATGTGCCGTTATGCTTAAATATTGCTAAAGGTGTGTTTACACATATTTTCATTGATATGTGTATGTCAGAAAGCAATGTTGTGAATTGAACTGTTACATGATAAGTTTCCGTTTCTATGATAGTTTTGGCGTAGTGGTATATCTGTGTGTATGTATATGTATGTATATATAACTCAGGGTAAATATACAGTAAATAACTGATTTTAACGAATACTTATTTTTGGGATTATTTTTACAACGACATATTCGCGAAGATTATGGAAGTGACAGCAGTCGTTTTATATTGTGCCTGCATCCATATTCTCAGTATATCTTAATTCGAGATATATCTTCATTCGTGAAATTCTTTTCTCGCGAATTAACTCTGAATTGAATATCTGATTTGATGTTTCCAGATACTATACATGCGTTATATGACGAACATGTTTAGGCTAAACTTTAACACGACAAATTAGAGATATGAAACCTACAAATTTACAAAGATCGTGATAATTATCGTTGCTGTTTCAATATTACAATATTTTTAATACTAAACCAGTTTTTAGTTTTCATTCAAAAGGCGTAACCTGCTTGTAAATTATTTGACATTGTATACCCAGACAATATGGAATGTTACTATCTTAATGCAGGTTATATGAGCTATGTTGTTCCGATCATACAGTACTGAATATGATGTAAAAGTGACATCCAGATTCATATAACATCTGTCGTTATATAATTAATATCATGTTTGTAATATGCATTTCTCGTGTAATATTCGTAGCGGCGTATCTTACGATAAACTAGAAATAAATCATCACATATGTGTCATTTTTCAGCTAAAATAACAAAAAAGTTTGTTTGACTCATAAGATAAAAAAAAAATCTTGTCCATTGTCAAAACTAGTACAAGTGTATATTAGGGAGTCAACCACAAAGACAATGTTATGTTTAATAATACAACTTAAAATTAGAATCTTAAGTATGGTCATCGGTTGATTTGTGAAAATTAGTTTGTTTTGTAGTGTTAACTATCCATAAAACGAACCTGTTATTTATAATTGTTTTTTGTTAATACCAATGTACAAAGATGTTATTAAAAGATGACAACAGTTAACTAAATCGTAATTTCATTAACATTCAAACACGTATTTCCATGTAAGTCAAACGCCAATCATACTAAGACCGTATTAAATTTTGAGTTGGTGTGTTTGCACTGATAATAACGATCTGCAAAGTAGTTCATATACTTAACATAAGCAATAAAACGTGGCATAAGCATTTCATTGACAAGCGTATCTTATTTAATGCGTGTGTTAATTACCGATGGTCTGAACACGGATCTTCGTATGATTTTTAATATTTGTTTACTTTTCTAAATAAAATGATGACTTGACAAGATTTTGATATTCTTTGTCAGTTTATGCTCTGGTTTATATCAACTTCTGGCTATAAGGCAGGTAACCAAAAGTATTGGGTTTTATCTTTCAAATTGCAGGCTAAATAACAGTCAAATACATTGTATTGAGGGAACATTTTTTTATATTTTCTTTGCAACAATTTGCATTTTATATTTATATCTTATCGAATGCCATTTTCCCGTAAAGTACACAAATGATATAATGGACATATCATTCAGAATAATTCAGTGTGCAATTTTCGCGTGATACTGATATGTATACATTACAAATCCAAGCTTTTGAAGAAGTTGTGAGTACATGTGCCTGTTAACGTCCCCAACCCACACAGGTTATGACTAACAGTAACTACTCCACACACTCGTTTTGACAAAAGTCAGACGGTTGTTGATTGAAGGTGTTGGCGTGAGTTCTATCTGTGGACAGTCACTTCCTTGCCGGAACGCATTTTTCCAACGAGATAATTGATTACGGTTTTTTCTTCCGCGTATTGTTTTCTTATTTCATTACATACGTCTTACTACAGACAAGTGTTTCTAATCAGCTGATATGCACGGTGTTCCCGTTTTAAATGCCGCTTTCCTATGAGGAAACAGACGCAAAATTATTACTAGGTAAACTTTCAACTCACTAATGGAAAACAGCTTGATGTGCATGTAGCTTTATGTTTTGTAAATCAGTATGGTTTCTATTATTCATAATAACAGAATTAACAGAATTATAGGGTTGACGGAGATGGAATTGTCATACCGTATTGTACATTCATATTGCTGTCCGATTGGGTCAAGTGTGCTGAGCTTGTTTCTGGGATATACATTCGCGGTTAAACAGAATTTGAGACTGAGACTTCCCGCAAATTTAAACGGGTAATTATTTATTTTTTTATAAAAAATACAAAAAATATGGACGGCATACATTCACCTATGCTTGTTTACTACGGAGAGGTGACAACACCGACAACAATAACAACAACAGAAACACAGGAGGGCACATAACAGGGAACTTGATCACAAACTCCACCAAAAAATGCGAAAACGAAACCATAGCACTCGTTATTGTAAGCATGCCATGCACAACCTTTAGCTCCGGTAATAAAAGAGTGTATGTTGGCAATCAACGATTTTGATTAAGTGTTTAAATGTGTCAGTGATAAGCTATAACATATACTGTTATATTTTAATCTATTTGATTAGTTTGTTTTGTTAAGTACATTAATGTTTAGTTATTTAGTTCAGTATATTTTGTACAGTACCTTTGGCATGGAGATCTTTGAACTTGGACTGGTCCTGACTGACGCACTGTAAACACTTGCTGTACTCCTGTTTGTACTTATTTACATCCTCTTGTACCTGAGACCGCACAACTCAATTACAACATATTTTTTAAAGCACAAAACAACTTAGCAATTAATGCTTGCCTGAAAACTTTTACCCTGTTAAACTTGCACACTTCACTGGTAAATTAATATTCGCTCATTTTTAATTTTCATCTTTACATGGAATTACAGTCAAACTTTGATATTTTGAACTTTGAAGGACCATTGGGAAAAATCCAAAACATCAAGACTTTGACTCATAAATGTTGAACTTTCAACACCTTAGAAATCTGCATAAGATTGAGTATGATTGTTAAATGACAGAACAAAAGGCACGAAATTTTATTTGAAATCTATAAATATTGGATTAAATGTAATAAGAAAAATATGTTTCATGTATTTATGCACAGTAATTTGCATATTTAGGTGTTATGGTTCGAATGTTCTCGTACATGTTTGTGTTTTACTTTAATTTATTAGTTGTAAGTTTCAATGTTTTCCTAAGAAACTAATATTTGCTGTAAAAATAAATTCTGCTCACAATACTGATGGCAAAACAGCGACAATTTCCATGTACAGAGAACACTTGCTGCTCATAACATTTCTATAACACGTATTACTGTTAATCGTTTTGTTTTTGTTTGTGTAAATGACGTCATTGATATTTATTGTGGTGAGGAAAATAATAACCATCATAAGTGACATTATTGGTATATTACATCGTTGTCGATTTAAATATTCGGATCCTTATTTCAGAACGTGTAATTCAGTGATGCCCACAGGTTCCTGTACGACGGTACTCTGATTTTATAAATGCAATATTAGAATGTTACGCACACTATCGTAAAGTTGTTAACCAATAAACACCTTACAATAAGGCCTCCACACAGTTTAAAACACACAATCTTTCTTCCTTAAACACTGGCTTTACTTATATGTCACACAACCATTTTCCCCTCTGTATTTCCCTAAATACCACACAGCCCTCCTTCCTTAAACACTGGCTTTACTTATATGTCACACAACCATTTTCCCCTCTGTGTTTCCCTATATACCACACAGACCTCCTTCCTTAAACACTGGCTTTACTTATATATCACACAACCATTTCCCCTCTGTGTTTCCCTATATACCACACAGCCCTCCTTCCTTAAGCACTGGCTAACTTAATATACACAGCCCTCATGCCTTAAACACCGGCTTGTAACATGAATGCAGGAAAAACTCGTTATAAGGGAGGTAACCTACCGTACATTTATCAACATTTTTTAAGAAAATATTTTTACGGTATGTCTTTACAATCATACCAACTCAATTTTCCGGTTATATGAATGTCTTCAACTGATGACACAAGTTTGGACGTATCAATAAGTTGCTTTCAGTATAATCTGTTAAGTGAATTGAACTGCTCAATAGTAATACTATCCACCCATTGCACCACATAATATCGATCATAATGATTGGACCCTAATGTCTACATACCTTAATAATTACTTATCCTTACACTGGTATGGTATTATATCTCATACTACTGGAGAGAACGATAGGTACCGGAGGAAACGTACCTATATGAAAAAAGGTGAGCGAAGGAATGTTTAGAAATTATGCAAGAATTCGATCATTATCGTAGAGGATTTCGGATTCCTGTCACATTGCAGTCAAAACAAACTTAAACCCGACTTGGAGTTGTGATATTGACTTGTATCTCCTTCATTTTGTGTTGGGATAACTGTAAATTGACTACCGTTGACTAATCTATCTCATTTAGTTAGAACGACCGCTTCGATCGTTTTCAGAAGTCCGGCGATCGAATGATGGTCTGTCCTCGTACACAAACATCTAAAGCTGTATTTGTTTTTAATGTGTACGGTTTCCATTAGAACGTCTATTTATCAAAAGAGAAACGTTATGTTTCGGGGGGTTTTCCGATTTCAAAGAAAAACTTAAGAAATAAATCGTTACTCCATAAACTTTTAAAATATCCGCAGGAAGTTTCGTAAGGCATGAATTTCTTTTCAGAAATATTGTATCTGAACAAAAGCTTTGCTTGAAAAATATTTCTGATACATAGTTCTATTTTTGGATTTACATCGTGACATTAAAAAAGCAGAAGACGCATACCCTTCCGAAACACCTGGTATTATTCTCCTTGTTCTTTTTCAACGTTATCCCTGTAAATCTTCCATTTGTTCATATATATGCCTTGATTTATCGGTTTTGAGTTGAAATTGTGGTTTTGTTGACACTTCGGTCTTCTGTTGTTTGTTTGTGCTCTAAACAAGTATAGCAACCCAACTTGATAGTTCGTAGTCTAGTGAAAAGTATAGCACAATAAGTGTGACTAAATTGCTCTTTTTCTTCCTATGACAATATATCTCATTTTGTTTTCGTAGCAAGTATAGTAAATCTTACCAATATCGCGATTAATTTAATTAAAAGTGTGGTCATCTTTTCTAATGTTTATTGATCAATATATCATCATTGCCTGCTATTTGCGCTTAATTTCAGGGAATAGGTAATATTTATGTTTGCCTGTAAATGTTAACCTTTTGGACTTTTAAATAGGATTGACTTACTTGTTTTAGAAATGTGCTTCCTTACTTCATATACAACAACGTATGCCCACGTGATGATTTAAATATATAGGGCGATTGTAGGGTGCTCTGCTAATCACTAATCACTGCTTGTAAAATGGTTTGGTAAAAAAAAACTTACAAAGAAGATAACAATGGTATTTTAGCATATATGTAAGTAAAATAATTAACTTGCATTCACTGCTTCGACGTTTATGATATAATTATACTCTGTTCCGTTGCTTTTAAAATGTCAAATTCTAAACAACAGAATCTGTTTTGATAAAATTGTCTCATAAGAAACACATCACTTACTTGAGCCATCTTGCCCCAACGGATGGCAATAGCCTGCCGCCGCTAGAGCTCGTTTTCCAATTGGTTAGTTGTTCGCAACACGGCATTCACCGTACCCGCAGTCCGAAGATGATGAACAGTCCTTTGCTGAAGCAACCTGCACAATCGAGAGAGTCAAAACGCAAGGAACAGCAAGTATATAACATATATAGCACCAGGTACACCGTTTTTGATACAGTTGTATTAAAAAATATATATTATTCGAGATATTAAAATAATTGCATATTACCGAAAAAAAGATATTTATTTAACTGATTCTAAATCACTTATGGCAAGCCAAGTTGTCATTTATTCATGGAGCAATTTTGATCCAGTTCTTAACCAAATTATATAAGATATCTTATATAATTATATAAGATATCTTATATACTTTATGAGATATCTTATATACTTTATAAGATATATTATATAATAAATCAGATATCTTATATAGTTAATAAGATATCTTATATACTTTTCTTTATAATATATCTTATATATTATATAAGATATCTCATTAAAGATATAAGATATCTTATAAAAAAAGAGTTATCTTGTATATTATATCAGATATCTTATATCTTTTATAAAATATCTTATAAACAAAATTAAACGAGATATTTTATATAATTCGGTTATAAGATATCTTATAAAGAACGAAATTTGAATTTGAGGTAATAAACACTCCCCCACAGCGCTCAGAACCTATCGATAACCGAAGGGGTCCGAGATAGTTTGATCGAAAATGGCTGCCTATGCCAATGGGATCAGTTATCAAATTGAGACTACTATAACTATGGCAAGCCAAGTTGTCATTTATTCATGGAGCAATTTTGATCCAGTACTTAAACAAATTATCGCCAACGAAAACGGATGTGACCTTACAACAGGAGCAGTCGTTTTCAAACATTTCTTCTTTGTCCGTCTCGCGAGAGTCTCGTTCTTTATAAGATATCTCAATTAATTTTCTTTATAAGATATCTTCAATCATATTAAAATCAGATCTCTCATTACACTACGTTATATTTATATATTATATAAGATATCTTATATCTTTATGAGATATCTTATATAATACATAGGATATCTTATAAAGAAAATTAATTGAGATATCTTATAAAAGGTATAAGATATCTTATAAAAGATATAAGATATCTTATGTATTATATAAGATATCTTATATAATAAATGAGATATCTTATAACAAATAATTTAAGAGATAACTTATATCTTTTATAAGATATCTTATTTCTTCTATAAGATATCTTATAAAGTATATAAGATATCTTATAAAAGATATATGATATCACATAAACTTGAAATAAGATATCTTATATGTTTATAAGATATCGTATATGATTATAAGATGTCTTATTTGTTTATAAGATATCTTATATAATTTGATTAAGTACTGGATCAACATTGCTCCATAAATAAATGACAACTTGGCTTGCCATACTGATTCTAAATCACCAATATGGTACTAGCCGCAGGTCTGTGTTTTTTCTCCGGGAACTCCGGCTGTCCTCCACCACCAAATCCTGGCACGTCCATAAATGACCATAGCTGTTAATAGGAGGCAAAACACAAACAAACCAAATCACTAATTATATGCTCTCGTGTAAAATGAGTTTCTTAGATATTGGTGACTGTTATCTGGGTAAAAATACAACCAAAGCTTACATAGTTGATCCAAACTTATATCTATCCCTTTATTCCTTATGTACAAAAGTCATAGTCATCCTGATAACAGTCGTTAGAAATGATGAGTGGTTTCTTTGTAATACGAGCAGAATATGCATAAACGTTGAATCATGTCAGATTAGAATAATATAAAAACATCATCAAAACGTTACTCAGATATTTTCAATATACGAAGAAGAAGCATGAAAATGGGAAATGAGGACAAAAAAGCACTGAAGGTAATATCGAATTCAATGTTCATGAACTGTTTTATCAACAGTTATGAAGAGGTTATGAATGAAGAAGAGGTCAACATCAAAGATTCCATAAAAAATGAAATAAACATACCATTACAACAGCTGACATCAGGATTACAAGGATGATAAAGGAAGGTGTTGACATTATCATTGTGAATTGTAGACAGAACCAGTAACTAGCCTTCACCGATAACGTATCAGTAGACGAGTAAAACGTACATCACGACGGAAAGATATGAGAGAACGGACAGCACATATCAAACAATCGCTAGTAAAGATGTACATATCTAACAATTAAAGTACCACGTCTTCAATATAACGACTGTTTTCATTGGTTAATAACCACATATCATTGGACAAAACGATGCACGTGAATGTGTTATTTTACGAAATAATCAACGTTTGTGCGTGTATATGTATTGTATAAACATATGTTGATAATAGCTATCCTACCAATTAAAAAGCCACGGAAGTTCTTTTTCGTGTACACCTCAGTGTGTATGCGCGTATGATACATGTATTGTAAGCAAGATGACCAAGTTAATCTTATTATCTAAATAGGGCTGTTCTTTTGCGCGCGCTAATATCTGACACGTGATGTCGATATGTCTCCATTTCAAGCTGCGCCTATTTTTTTTTTATTTCTGACCCTTTGGGCAGTTGTCTTTATTTTGTGTGATATATCATTTTACAGGCGATAAACAATAAATACTGATGCCATGCGTTATACCAGATGTTATCGGCATAGGGTGTCAACAAATGAAACGAGTATTTCACAGATTTGCAAACACCTTTCAAGTCACTATTATGATAGTGAGCTTGTGAGGAGTTAGGTAGATCTAGGGATTGAATGATTTTGTCTGCTAGCAAATCTTTGAGGGGCATTACGCACTTCTATTTTCTGTTTTCAACAGTATTTTAAAACAATGTTTGGATATCCCCTGTTTTACCCTAATAACCGATGATATTAGGACGAATCAGCTGTAAGGTGTGACGTACAGCGTAATTAATTTTATCACACTGTTACCAATTGTTATGTGCAATCACGTGCGTGTCTTAGTTCATCTTTAAATATACAAGGTGATAGACTCTGCTGGTAGGTTTCTTAGTCGCCGATGTTTCTTTCTTATCCTGATAGCCAAACTTGTTTCTTTTCAGTGGTGGCACTGTGCATTATATACACGCTTTACTTTCAATTTAATATTAACCAGCACACCTTTTATTTAGTATTACCCAGTACACCTATAATATAATATTAACCAGTACACCTGTATTTTAGTATTAACCAGTACACCTGTAATTTAATATCAACCAGTACACTTGTAATTTTTGAAATTGAATACTTAAGGGGGTTTATTGCACCTAGCATTGTTTCAACTTCCGTTAAGACCAATTAAGGATTTCCATCCGTTTAGTCCCTAGCATCACCGATGAGTCATTAACGGACAAAACAGCTGTATGATGAAGTGAACTCATTTTGGCATGATGTATCTAGTCTAATTGAACAGGCTAATAAGCATTTTGTTGCAAATCAGATAACAGAAACTTAGTATAGTTCCATAAATCTGTCAACGCCACCATAATCCAATGCCATCCCTGCCGTTACATTGTTTTAAGCTCAGTATATTTAATATGTTGGAGACGTTGCCATCCAAAATGACGTATGTATAACACCATCGCCACCTTATGTCTCTTCATGCCCGATCCTGGTAGACTTTCTATTTTTCTTGAAGCAAGCGATGCTAAACCAACACTGGTATACTCTTGTGAGTATGTCTACTTTGCATGCCTTACGTCAGGAATATACTCTTGTGCTAATTGTAAAAAGAAAATCAAGGCTAAAGTGATTTTTTGATAATCTTAATAACTGATTCAACACGGCTTCTCCTTGTGAGGCTGAACATATGTACATTTAAGATGTGTTCTTGTCTAAATGTGATGTTGGACGATAAAACGTTTGCTGCAAGTACAACACAACACACGAAATAGTATGTATAGATTTTATTATTTTAGAATATATATTAATAAATGCTGCATCCATCTAGTTTGGCAGTTTCTTCTAGTGTTGATGAGTGCAAATGCCTGTGTAGAAAACAAGTTACATGTATTGATTATCCAAGTATATAGTTGTTACTTTATACATATTGATTGAATAGTTTAATATCTTTTACACCTTGTTTATTAGATAGAGCTATAGACTGTTTAAAAATCACAGCTGAATATATAAGAGTGTATTATTAATCCAGTTAATGTAACTTGTTCTATTGATATTATATTGGTTCAGAAATTTCGAGCGGAGAAAAATCGCATATGATTTCATTGGTCGATTATCGGTATTATATATAGTATTATATATTATGTTACACTATATGTATTTACAATACCTGTTTCTCCGAAGGGCACCTCTATCAGCCCACTTCCTTTGCACGTGAGATGTGCTCCACATGGGCATGAGTGCACCACTCCAGTAGGAGGCGAGCTGACACTTCCGTAACGGGTTAGGCAGTCTGGATATGACAAATATTATAGATAGGGTTTATTCATGAGTTATTTTCTTTTAATCTGTTTTATTTCTATTATCACGGTGACAAATACTCCTAAATATACAAACAAATACAAACAAATGTACTGAAGTATTTTTTAAAACATATTTGGCCGGAGATATGTGTTATAGAATGATGTTGACGAAGAGGTTTTTAATAAAAAAAAACCATGAACAGGCTTGAAAACGTTACCCTTTTAGTAAAGAAAAGATAAAACATGTGACCTTCGGATTTATTTAATTATTCATTTGATGCTTACCGCAAACATGAAACACATACAAACCACTTCCTAACAAGCAACTACGATATATAATGCGGGGAATAAAGAAAAGAAAATACTCACGTGACCCTTCTTTGCCTAATGGCTGACAATGACCCTGCACGATAAGAAGCATTCGTTTTCCAATTAGCTGGTTATTGGTGACACAGCATTCATTGGCTTGGCAATCGAGATGGGAGTTGCATCCTTCTGACACGTCAAACTATGTCAATTGTATAATATACGTATGACATTGTTATAATACTTCTTGTGCATCCTGCATTAAATGTGTGTTCGTTTTAATGCAGTAGATGTTTGAAGACAATTATTTTATTATGTTGAGAGAAAGAAATATACTGAAGCATGTAGCAATTCATCATTCTAATTCACAATCAATGAAACTAGTATAAAATATTATCAAATTATCAAAGAAAGCATTTCATGGCGACACTTAAGAAAGTTCAAGGAGAAAATGATTAATTATTTCGGACGTTAAGATACGGTATCTTTAATATAGTTTGGATATTAAGGTTTGGTCGATAAACTGTCAAATTCATTCAACATAATAAGGTATCGACTAAAAGAAAAGGTTCACGATGCATACTTTTTCTGTTCTTGAGTGTCTATTTGTTAACAGGGGTCTCCCGTATAATTGAAAGTAATTTGGGATGGAGGAGTCTTGCTACTCTTTCAGATAATAATTAATCAGCTCACGTTTTGAAAATGGTTATTTCCTGAATGAAATAATTGTCTTCGTAACACTTTGCTTGCATTAACTACTACATTTAGAAATGAATGAAGGGGATTACAACGAGAATCGATATAAACAATGAAATAAACAACCCCTTATGAAATCCATTAGAGTCAAACGTACCCTCAGGTAAATAAGAATTTGCAATTGACGAACAGTGAAAAGCTGACCTCTAAAAGACGTGTATCATGCCGAAGTTTCATTATAAATGATATAAATGATTAATTTTGCGATATCGTTTGTCTGTAACCTATTCCGTTCATAATTGTTAGCTTAATTTATTATTATGTAATTTGCAAAATCTTAACGTAGTAAATTGTATTTGTAGCTATCCGATATGTATTTCGACTACGCAAATAGGAAACCCGAACAGGCATATTATAAACTTGTGATACCTGTCTATAACCAGCATAACAAAGAAACATATTGAAACAAGACTGTCTTATATGTATATTCAATATTATTCGTCAGTAATAAAGATTGATCATTAGTTGGTTCCCAATGACAGCTAGATGATTAAAAGCATACGTGCTCACCATTAATACGGCCGCCGCAACTGCAACAATGATGCCAACAGATTGGAAAGCCATCCTGATAAATTAAGTATGTACAAGCCTAACGATTTAATGGTGTATGTGGATGTGTCCACTGTTTATCAGTCTTATCAGCTGATCATCTGTAAGAGTTCAGGAGGTCAACGACAGAAATATAGGATAGGACGTTGCAGAAGTGGTGTATACATCAAACCATAGTGTCTGTCATTTGGCAATCGCATTTCGCTACAAGTAAAGACTTATTAATAGTTCATAATAATGGGAGTGCAAAATGGCAGTTAACACAATACCAAAACTGAATTACACTCCATTTATACAGCTGCGTCGACCTAGGATTCATCAGTGATGCAAAAACGATGGAAATGATAGGGGCAAAATAGACGGAAATTAATTGAAATTAAATTAATCTTTCATGCTAAGCATGAATTTCATATGGTAACAATATGAATACCAGCTGTATGACAGAAAATTTCCATAACATGGGCTATGCAGTAAGGATTCTCCTTTCAGTTTAAATATATATACTATGACGTGGTTTATGTCGTTCGTGTATTGTCAAACATTGTGATTTCATGGTTGGATATTAAATTATAACGACAATGTACAGTAAAACCTGGTCGTACAGCAAGAGACATGTTGATGCTATAAAGGGATTGGCAATAAACTGAGGGAAATGTACAAACAAATTCTTAAAATTATGAGAAAAAGACCTTAAAGTAAGCTGGCACCAAGCAAGATGGTAATAATAATAATATAATAATATACAGCATTTATATAGCGCCCTATATAATTTGTAAAATTACTCTAAGGCGTTTTACAACATATGGATAATAATAATAATGGTTAAAATTGTGAAAACAAACAACAAAGGCTTGCAATCACTTTCATACATTTAACAAGCAATGTGCACATAATTGAACAAATAAAAGGGTGGTATTTACATGTCGTCTTTGCAAAGATTCTAAAATGCAGACGTGAAGAGGTGAGTTTTATGTCCCTCTTGAACTTGGCCAGGGTATTTGACTTCCTAATAGCAGATGGTAAGCTATTCCACAGCGTAGCCGAAACCCTCCCAAAGCAGTGTTTCCGTAGGTCACAGTACGAGATTTTAGGACACACAACAAAGATTCTGATTCCGACCGCAGTGATCTTGACGGCTGATACAGGGTAACAAGTTCCTGTAGGTACTGAGGAGCTGTTCCATTCAGTGCCTTGTATGTGTATACCAGAATTTTGTACTGCGACCTGTATCGTACAGGTAACCAGTGCAACGAATAAAGCGCAGGTGTGATGTGCTCTCTCTTTCGAGTGCGAATAACTAGCCGTGCTGCAGTGTTCTGGACCCTCTGCAGACGGCTAGTTAGTTTGTCAGATATACCACAGAGCAGGGCGTTACCATAATCCAACCGAGAGGTAACAAGTGAATGCACCAAAATCTTGCATGCATCTGCAGTTAGAAACTGCCGAATACAGCCGATGTTCCTGATCTGGTAGTAACAGGATTTGGCAATAGCGTTCACTTGTTTCTCCATGTTCAGAGAACCGTCAAAGTATACCCCTAGGTTTTTAACAGCTGGAACAGTCTCAATAGTTCTGGCACCAACCTTGAGCTGGAGAGCCATTGTTTGCTGACACTTTGGGGAAAAGATGATTAGTTCCGTCTTTTTTAAGCATGTTGGCGTTCATCCAGATCCTGATATCTGTCCGACAAGCTTCCAGACTTTCTGAGACTGTATTCCAGCTGTCCTGTGGTTTTATGACCATGTAAATGTGTGTGTCATCGGCATAGCAATGATAGCGAAGGCTATGGCGACGACAAATCTCTCCAATCGGTTTGGAGTACATACAATATTTTCGTGGCCCTAACACCGACCCTTGAGGAACCCCGAAATCTAGTACTTTGTCATGTGAGGTGGCAGATCCGATGGCAATACACTGTCGTCGTTCACTCAGGTATGACTGTATCCAGCATAGTGCGGTATCAGTATTCCAGACGTTTATAAAGCATGCCATGGTCGATGACGTAAAATGCAGCTGACAAGTCCAGCATGACAAGCACCGCTCTGCACTTGTTATCCAATGCAGAAGCTATATCACTATGTACACGTAGGAGGGCCGTCTCATTAGAGTGTCCCATGCGGTAGGCCGATTGCATGTTGTCATGGAGACTGTTTGCATGGAGATGAACCTCTAAACGCCGGGACACAACCTTCTCCAAGATCTTAGACAGAAAAGGCAGATTTGAAACTGGGCGGTAGTTTTTCAACTCCTCCTTGTCCATTCCAGGCTTTTTTAACAATGGTCTGACATGTGCCTTCTTGAAACATAATGGAACCTTTGACTCAACCAATGATTTATTCATGATTGCGGTAATCAAAGGAAGCAGTGCTTCAAGACATTGCTTTAATAGGTCTGTAGGCAGTGGATCAAGCTCACAGGACTTCGATTTCGAGGTCATGATAATGTTGCGCAACTCGTCCTGGGTTGTTGGTGAGAGTTTTGTCAATGGTTCCCCATCAAATGCAATGTCAGCAGTCATGACAGAGATGTCAATGTCAGCAGAGGTGTTCACTTCGGTAATATTTTTCCTGATTGAGCTGATTTTATTCAGAAAGTAATCTCTGAACTTGCTTGCTAATTCTTTTTCAGAATTACAGCTTGGTAGGATAATTTCAATGTGGAACCATCTACTGATCTGTTACTGACCTGACTAGTAGACATTTATAGTTTAACTCAAGTCGTTTCCATGTATATTACTTTAAACTGCGGTCCAGGTATAGCATCATTGGACGATCTGTAACTATGATTTTGTGAGCAGTGGATCAAGCTCACAGGACTTCGATTTCGAGGTCATGATAATGTTGCGCAACTCGTCCTGGGTTGTTGGTTAGAGTTTTGTCAATGGTTCCCCATCAAATGCAATGTCAGCAGTCATGACAGAGATGTCAATGTCAGCAGAGGTGTTCACTTCGGTAATATTTTTCCTGATTGAGCTGATTTTATTCAGAAAGTAATCTCTGAACTTGCTTGCTAATTCTTTTTCAGAATTACAGCTTGGTAGGATAATTTCACCTTTCTGTCCTATAAGGTTTTTGGTGAGTCTAAAAAGTGGTCTTTTATCCTTGCCACATTCTCCGATTTTTTCCGAATAATAAGCCTTCTTTGACTGAAAGAGCAGTGAACCAACTAGCCGACATTGCTCTCTATAAATCAGTTGGTGAACGGTTAATTTGGTCCGTCGCCACTGTCTCTCTGCTTGGTAAATGGAATGAAAGGCATTATATCGGGGTTTTACCGATCCGTTTCGTTGATATGGATTTATACGGTAGAAAATACCGTAAAACTCATTTTTTTGTTATCATAGTCTATTTATCCTGAAAATCCTTATATAAAGCTCCGTTTGATTGTACATACCACAGTTGATTTTTCGGGAACGACAGTTGTTGTCGTTCTCGAAAAATCAACTGTGGTATGTACAATCCAAGTTCTAAAATCGCTAAAAACGCAACGGTATAACCAGTCAAAGGTATAGTTCATATGTGTCACAGTGTGGAACCATCTACTGATCTGTTACTGACCTGACTAGTAGACATTTATAGTTTAACTCAAGTCGTTTCCATGTATATTACTTTAAACTGCGGTCCAGGTATAGCATCATTGGACGATCTGTAACTATGATTTTGTCGAGATTATCCAACTGTTAACCATCGCAACAGAAAAAAAACCATCCTTTTAAATAATTATCTCGTTTAATGTGTAATATATAGACAGCAGTTTGTCACATGAATAATACTTGATATATATTATTCATCTATTTATTTGGATATAATATGACATGTCAAGTGTGTGCTTAAGTCAAAATAAACAATTGAACTAAGTGATCTTTTTCTAAAGCATTGTTCTATTTCCGTTTTCTGTCACCGGCACAGTGTTTGTTCTTTTTTTCAATCCATGGATATACAATTCATCTTTTGTATATAGTGATTCCTCTACACGCACCTGTTGATAAAGATACAATAACTTCACATGTTGATATTGACATTGCACACTACAAAGTAGTTCTCTACATTTATTGTAAAATGGAAGTATTATAATGCGTATAGCATACTCAAAACCATCACTCAAAGGACCTCAAGTTTATATAAAAATACAAAAACGGGAACTGCTGTGAAATTAAAATAAATGAAAACAACATTAACAAACACCAGATGATTACACCTGCTGATAGTGACTCACATGATCAACTGTATGATTTTCGTAGACAATTAGCAACTATCCAGCTAATCCATTTAGTTCGAAAAGGTTTTGAGGTAGACAAATAAAGATAGACAAACAACGTGTTTACACCAGGCTGGTATTTTAATACCAATGAAATAACAATAAACGATAGTGTGATCAAAACAACATTGAAATTAAGCATGTTTATCACATACATGGATAGTAGGGTAACAATTGTTGTCATACTGTAGGTAAATATCAAATTATGAAGTTTACTTCAATAATATATCTTAATATAACGTAGTGACCGAATCTGGACAGTATACTATCTAACTTTTCAAATAGCTGTAGTATTAATTTAGACTCATCGGAACCAGCTGATATTGTCTGTATTTGCAAAACTGCTTAAACAAATGGAAAGGATTGTGCAATCGATTTCACGCCAGCAGTGTGATGCCTAACTGAACACACTTACTTTTTATTGCAAATAAGATATTTGTGTTTATTACTTTTTATTAGTAGTATTATTAGTTTCCTAAGTGACCGATATGCCAAATGCTAATTTATCATATCTGGTAAAAAGTTTAAACAGGTTCATAACAAATCACTATTGATCTCTGTTTAGACTATCAAGTCATTATTTCAGAGGATGGCAGATGTCAATATTGAATTTCCTTAGTATTAAAGTTTGTAATATTTGGATATATGTTTTTTCCCGACGCCGATTTTTATTCAACGTTTCAGTAACACAACTGAACGACTTTCTGAATGTGAATTCGTCGATTGTGGTTTGTAACAAACTGATATAATTGTCATTCGCTAGGTAAACGATTTCAAAAACATGTAGTTAGCCTTGTCTCTTATACAAAGGAAATAAAATATCGAGTAACAAAAACAAAACAACCCCACCCCTTTTTAAGATAACAAAATAACATTATTTGGTTCAACTTGAATGATTAAAGACGTATTGTAATGCCTTGCTTTCGTGATGAATTAAACATGATTAAGTCATGTCTAACGCAAGCACTATATATGAAGCAATTACAGTCGAATTTAAACGGTTTTACATTCCATCCTGATGGGTTATATACTGTACTGACTACACCATCGCATGTCCTAGCCGTTATATCAGACAAGACTAGACTTGTCAAACCGGTCGAATTTAGTAACCGGTTACTCGAAAAAATCTTCCAACCGAGTAACCGGTTAACCGGCTAACCGGCTAACTAGTTGACAACCCTAGTCAAGGCTTGAGGGTTATTTATCAGGTACTATTAATAATTTTGCGAATGGTATTCAGTTTATCAGAATCATAACAAATGCTCAATGCAGTTTACCCACATACTGTCATGCGTATTCAACAACTGATATTTACGAAAGTGAAGTGATATACCAATTTAGTTATGCGATTTCTGCAGGAATGACCAGTTAAAATTAGTTTTATATAAAACAAATTGTATACCTATTTCTCCCTGTGGAACTTCAAAATCTCCAGTTCCTTTGCATTCCAGGGAACCATTACATGGACATGCTTGAACTCAGCCAGCAGGTGGTGTTGAAGCGCTTCCGAAATCCACCAGACATTCTGTATGTTAAAGAATAAAAATATCGCGCAGTCTGCTTTGTTCTTAAACTGTGTATGCAAATTGTAACAACTGATTTGTTATTACATACTCTCCAAACAAACGGTTATTTAGTTTCAAGCTGTGTTTTAGATGCAATATTTACTCACTTGACCCTTGTTGACCCAGGGCTTGGCAGCGTCCAGTTGGAAAGGACGATCGTTTTCCCCTGGACTGGTTGATGGAGACGCAGCATTCGTTGTAACAGCAGTCTTTTTGTATAAAACAGCCGCCACTTGATGAACCAAACTAAATTTAAAAAATCACAAAAGATCACTTAGACATGAACAATGAATGTGTTGTAATATACATTTGTATATATTAATTAATCTAAAGATGCAAGGAAAATAAGATCATGTGGTCCGGAAGGGTAAGCGTTTTATTCTTCATTGACGCCACTCACTAATGAAATTTAGGTCAAATCCAAGTAGTGTCACATCCTCGCATCGAGAAGTAGAGTAGTGACAACAACACCAAAAGGCTCACTAATGACAATAATAAAAAGCAATGACATTTATAACACACAAAGAAATAACACATTTCCCTATGAGATCATGATAGCAACAATCAAACTTGTTCATAACCCCATCAACCTGCATTTTGGAAACACTGCATGTTGTGTATTTGTCAGTCAGCAGTCGACATCTATCACGGAGGTTATGGTACGTAATCAGAGCAAGTTCTTGAATACCGAATCTATTGTGATATGAAAACACTGTAGGTAGCGGAAGCAGGGATATTACAATCAAGAAAGAGATGTTCATGATCGCAAATATGATCCAGCTTATCGTATTGATAGCAGCAAGACGCCCAGTTGCTCATATTATAAGTAAAGATCTAGGAGAATGGCTGAAATAGGAAAATATGTAGTGTAGTTGATTTCAATAAAGATAATGGCCTGGTTGAGCAACATGAATAGGGTCTCGGATTCCAATTGTAACGAGACATGTCCATTTCCTTTTTTATAGCGGATATTTGGAAACATTGTTATAGAGAAGCGTGAAAGCTAGTATTTCGCCTTTCCAAAATAACGGGAAAATGTTAAGGGAAAGTCTCCACGTAATATGGTGGTGTTTGCAGACAAAGATTAAGTTAAAATACGTTTTTTTTCTGCGGACACAATTATATTCATATCATGTTGATTTTTGAGTGTTATTTGGACATCCGGGTTAGGAAATGCAGACCTATTTAATGACATATTTAAACTGAATGTTTTTTGAAATATTCCTGATCTTGTCTTATCTTAATTGTAGAATATAGTTGTTTTCAATATGGAATATTTAAACAAATTCTTATTGTGATTTATACACTAATAATCCGGTAAGATGCTCTTTTCTATATTCAAAGTGTGTTATACAACATTTTTCCATACAACTAAGGATGATTCATAGTACCTTTTTCGAGAATTAAGTTTATAAAGGATTGTCGTTTTTTTACAATATATATAGAAAGGTAATCTAGGATCGATCCTTAAGAACAACCTGTTACAAAAAACTACTTTAACAACTGTCGCCTTTGGTTCAGGTATTATTCAAACCAAAGCAAGCTGTGTGCTGACATTTTCAGAAATTTTAAGTATGTAATACACTTGTAGCATGTTAATAGCAGCAACATCAAACGTGTACTGTCTTACGGTGGCTTCACTTTATTCGATCTGTATTACTTAGTTTACTTAGTTCAAATAGCGTTTGTAGCACAGACGGGGGTATTAATAAATAGATTTACGGCCAATTTACTCAACACACACACATACAGACTTCACTTACTTACACGTTAATGTTCATAGTAATCAAGTAAACGATTTTGTTTGTAATTGCTGAAAACGAAACAAATTTAACATTTGACAGTGTCATATGGCCAGGACTGATCAGTGGTAATAAAAGTAAAAACAAAAATGAAAAAGCCATGTCTAAATTATTCCAAAACATGTGTAGAATACAGCAAAAACCGGAAAGTGCATAAAACAAATTGATGAACCATCGGATTACCATTCAAGATACTCCATACTCAATTATCCTCGGAGCACCCTCACAACTATCATCGCCACGCCCCCTAACTCAGAATATCAACCTCGATCAACATTGCAGAAAAACCATAACAATCCCCTGGTATGCAAGACATTGGAACAAGATTGAAAGTAATGGCATGGGATAATATAATAGATTCATACGCAAACATATTTATGTTTCAAACTCTTCGGTAGGAGTAACAGAAGTACAGATACGAATCTGGCGATTGGCGATAATTCATTTAAGCAGTTCAGTAGTAAGCTAATTATAAATACCCAAAATATGGTTCACAATAACACCTATTCTACTGTAGAAGATAAAGAATAGAACAACTTACCAAAGCGGCAAACGACACCAGTACAGCAGTGACACTAAACACAGCCGACGTCATTCTGAACTACGTATACAGCGGTACTAGCATTGATGTTCCCATTGATCGGTACGTAAAACACCTCCGGAAGAAGTTTGATTGGCTGAAAATTGTTTTTCGCTCGCGTGCGACTTCATCGCTGAAGATGAATCATATGTTCTGCTTTTTGGAGTCAGCGGCGGCATCGTCAAACGTTAAAGTTTAGCGTTAAGCTTTGTTTCTCGGCAACTCTGTGCAGTACAACCATCGAATTTGGTACAATATGGTCATCAGGTATACATGTACGCCACAATGCAGGAGAGTGATGGAGGTTTGAAAGGCAATGGTTTCTTTTTTGGTAATAAAAACATACCATTAAGGCGAATGTCAAATTGACTTCAAAATATATCTTTATTTAACAGTATTGTTTAACACATTATATGGGTTTTCGGCTGTTTAGGTTGATTCGTCAAGCATCAAACGTTAAAGCTTTAGACGCAACTTCGTATCTGCAAGTCAAACTAACATTATAATCGATACACATGTTTATTGAACTATATTGTTTAACTCATAATACAGTTTTAAGCTGGTTCACGCGTTACTGTTCCAGCGGCAGCGGCGGCAACAATGTGACGTAAAGCTTTTGCGTTTACCATTTGTTGCTACAGATATTTTACTCCAACACCAACAACATTTCCTTTTGTCAAGCTGTTACCAACCCCGTCCCGTTTTATGGAGATCATGCATGCGATAATTGTGATCCAATGGAGCTGATGTTGATGAGTGATGACAATAGTACATTGTAATTGTACAAGGTTTCGGGACCCCCTATACGTTCTATAATAGCCCTTTGTTGACCACTTCCCATCGCACCACGATATAGTTGTACCAACGCACTGACAAATTGTCCTCAACATTATCAAAGTCACGGTTAAAATGTGTAGGAAATGCTAACCTGTAAAACGGTAAAATCTGGTTACCTGTTGGAAAGCCAAATGCCACCTACCTATAAATGGTATAGATACATATATAAATAGGATTTTATACTTATTCTAATAAGCAACAATCAACTCTCCAGAAAATAGCATTTTGCTTAAATTAGTTCATATTGCCTCTATATATGTTCATGGTACACACTATAGTGGGCGAATAGATTGGGTACAGGTATTCTTCTGTTCCATTTACACTTATACCAAAAAATATGTTTATCTTCCTTTCTGTTGATAGCCATAGTCATAACTGTTATGCCTCATTCTGATTTACTTACTTTAATTAGTCTAAATAACATCACGTGGTGTTCTACAACACGTATATCGACCGCTAAAATTAGTAAAACGTCTGTGTTAGCCTAAACAAGAGTCATCTCGTTCGGTGGTCTTCGGAAATCTACTTTCTGTTTTCTTTCGCCTCACCGGAAGTGTTCAATACCGGGTCCTTCCGATCAAGTGTTACAATATGGCAAGCATCGAATAGTGATTTATTGAAATCATTACTAGAAGAAAAAGATTCCAAAACCATAAAACGGGTAGTTTTCGGAGTGCTACATTATAGCTGCATTACGAATATTTTCAGAAGCCACGTGGCGCCCGAAGCTGGTATTTTTAGACAAGCTGTTGATCTTCGTTATTTTGGTATGCATTTTTGACATAGGGTGAACCGTTACAATCCATTAATTAAAAAGCTGATTTCTTTAAAATGTAATTGTCAACGTCACTGACTTGTTGAGTTCATTTTCGTTCAATAAATAAGAAAAAATACTTGTGTTATTGTTATTTACATTGGATGTCTCCTATAGCCATGCAAAAAACCTCTTGCCATCAGATGACATTTCCTCTCTCGGGGAGACAAATCCTTATGTCACACTAATATGTGGTCATTAATTGTATAATGTCATAAAACAGGACAACTCTTCCAAACATTACCAACTCGTTTTCAAAAAAAAAAGTGCGAAACTACGTAAGAAATCTTACCGCCAATGATGTGTATAGACAGATTTGTTTGGTATGTCAATATAGAAACAATTGAATGACGTCACCAGTAGGTAAAGTCGATACAACATATAACATCACGATTGTAGTATTGTATGTTTACACAACCTTCAAAAGAGGTTATAACGTTACTATTGATAAACATACTTACTAGTATTGTATGTTTACACAACCTTCAAAAGAGGTTATAACGTTACTATTAATAAATATACTAACAAAAAGGTTTTATAGTTACTATTGATAAACATACTTACAAAAAGGATATAACGTTACTATTGATAAACATACTTACAAAAAGGATATAACGTGACTATTGATAAATATACTTACAATAGTTACTCTCAATTACCATATTTACACTAGTATTACCATGGTTACACCATACTACCATAGTTAAATTATATGGCCACGTCATAACTATATTTACACTAATGCTCGCATTTTGGTATGTCAATATAGAAACAATTGAATGACGTCACCAGTAGGTTAAGTCGATACAACATATGACATCACCATTGTAGTATTGTATGCTTACACAACCTTCAAAAGAGGTTATAACGTTACTATTGATAAATATACTTACAAAAAGGTTATAAGGTTACTATTGATAAATATACTAACAAAAAGGTTTTATAGTTACTATTGATAAACATACTTACAAAAAGGTTATAACATTACTATTGATAAACATACTTACAAAAAGGTTATAAGAGGTTACTATCGATCAACATACTTACAAAAAGGTGATAACGTTACTATTGATAAACATACTTACAAAAAGGTTATAACGTTACTATTGATAAATATACTTACAAAAAGGTTATAACGTGACTATTGATAAATATACTTACAATAGTTACTCTCAGTTACCATATTTACACTAGTATTACCATGGTCACACCATACTACCATAGTTAAATTATATGACCACGTCATAACTATATTTACACTAATGCTCGCATTTTGGTATGTCAATATAGAAACAATTGAATGACGTCACCAGTAGGTTAAGTCGATACAACATATGATATCACAATTGTAGTATTGTATGCTTACACAATCTTTAAAAGAGGTTATAACGTTACTATTGATAAATATACTTACAAAAAGGTTTTATCGTTACTATTGATAAACATACTTACAAAAAGGTTATAACGTTACTATTGATAAATATACTTACAAAAAGGTGATAACGTTACTATTGATAAATATGCTTACAAAAAGGATATAACGTGACTATTGATAAATATACTTACAAAAAGGTTATAACGTTACTATTGATAAATATACTTACAAAAAGGTTTTATCGTTACTATTGATAAACATACTTACAAAAAGGTTATAACGTTACTATCGATAAACATACTTACAAAAAGGTTTTAACGTTACTATTGATAAACATACTTACAAAAAGGTTATAACATTACTATTGATAAACATACTTACAAAAAGGTTATAAGGTTACTATCGATCAACATACTTACAAAAAGGTGATAACGTGACTATTGATAAATATACTTACAAAAAGGTTATAACGTTGCTATTGATAAATATACTTACAGAAAGGTTATAACGTTACTATTGATAAACATACGTACAAAAAGGTTATAACGTTACTATTGATAAACATACTTACAAAAAGGTTATAACGTTACTATTGATAAACATACTTACAATAAGGTTATAATGTTACTATTGATAAATATACTTACAAAAAGGTTATAACGTTACTATTGATAAATATACGTGCAAAAAGGTTTTATAGTTACTATTGATAAACATACTTACAAAAAGGTTATAACGTTACTATTGATAAATATACTTACAAAAAGGTTTTATCGTTACTATTGATAAATATACTTATAAAAAGGATATAACGTGACTATTGATAAATATACTTACCATAGTTTCTCTCAATTACCATATTTACACTAGTACTACCATGGTCACACCATACTACCATTGTTACATTATATGACCACGTCATAACTATATTTACACTAATGCTCGCATTCTAAGTGCTAAATATACTCATTGCACAGCCTTGCGTCACTTAAAAATGTGCCTCTTAAAAAAAGGCAGGAGCAATTTCAAAATGACATGGAGCCATTAGTGTCCACAGCACTACAAATGATATAACTTCAGGTATTGTTTATATAGTGAACTTCAGTAGACATGTAAATGTATGCGTACACATCTGAAAGAATGATTCTCAATACACAAGCACAAACTTCATTTACGAATGCTCTTACAAACCGGTGGCTGAGTGCAAGTCTGATACAAGAACAGGAAAAGGCGATTCAAAGAAAGACATAGCAGATAGGTTTATTAAGTAACATGCCTCATGACAAGACAAATGGGATTTGAAGTTATAGTCTTTAAAATCAAAGAGTGATTAATCATCTGTACATTCTACCGTCGCTACAATACCTAACCTGCATATCAAAAGTCATGATTCCCGTCGCCCTGGTTCCCCCTTATCTCCAATGCACTCATTAAAGTCCTTACACACACGCCCTAACCAAGGCAACTATCAATGACCCCATCCCCAGAGTAGTGACATGTAACTAGCTAGAATACTAAAAACATACGCAAACGAAATAAAATAGATTTTAATGGTATTTTTTCCAGCAGGTATAACAGAATTAAGTAAAGATATTATAGGATAGTTGACACAGAAGTTCGCTTAAGCAGCTTGTTAGCTAAATAACGATTGATATCTATGTACATATATCTGCAATGCAGATGACGACAGGAACACGCAATCTACTTTAGGTGACAAAATGCAGAACAACTTCCCAAAGCGGCAAACGACACCAGTACAGCAGTGACACAATACACAACCGACGTCATCCTGGACTGTTATGTTCGCGCTAGATCTACAGAGGTACTACCATTGATGTCCCCATTGATCGGTACGTTTAACACCACCGTACACAAATAGTTACGATGATCCCTATCCGTTTTATATTTGTGTCACATTGGTAGAACCAGAACTGCTGTATTTTTTTCAAGCCGCTATCAACCTCGTCATGTTTTATGTAGATGAAGCATGTGATTATTGTGATCTAATGGAGTCATGTATGCAAATAATGTTGAGAGACGACTGTAGTATTTTGTTACGGTACAAAGTTTCGGAACCCGACAAATGTTCTATTGTTTTGCTGATCACTTTCCCTTCTTGCCACGATACCAACTTACTCCGGCAAAAATAATAATAATAATAATAATAATAATAATAATAATAATAATAATAATAATAAGTGCTAATTGTAATGGGGACCGTTACAGAAGTCTTCTAAACACCCCATAACTATGTTCGCAGTGCCAAAATACACCTACATATGAAATTTGAGCAAAATCGACCGATATGTAATTTCGACCAATCACAGGACGTGCGGCCAGTGTTGTTGACTGATAGGAAAAAGAAATGTCGTTTGCACACTCCCTTACCATGTGTAAAGTTTCATTAATTTCAGCCAATAGTTTTCGAGAAATGTGTCGGACGAATTGTAAGGCGGCAGGAGAAGAAGAGAAAGAAGAAAAAGAATTATAAGAAATGGAGGAAACCAATAAGTCCCCCACTTCGTTTGGGGGACTTAATAATATAACACATTTAATAAAGCGCCCTATTTAGCTAGAATATGTCACTCTAAATTGCTTTACAGTACATAGATATACAAGTTGTACAATCAATATGATTAGCATATACATGTATGATAATACATCAATACAATTTTGAGGAATTCGCAGGAACTGCCTTATCAGGCGCTAACTACTAGTCCTATTCCGCATGGCGTATTGGTGGTTGGAGTTGTGGGCAGGAGAAAAATCACTTTATCTGAATATTCCATGCGTACAACGACTTTGGAGATCGACCCCGGCCGTCTGCGTGGAAGGCCGGAGTGTTAACCACTCGACCAATCAGACCATAAAGTATAAATGTTCCAAACGCCGTGGAAAAGTGTAAGATAGTCAATAGATGAAAAGATCTAATATCATTAAATCGAGCTGATATGTTTAAATCTTGAGTTCAACTTCAAAGTCTTTTAACTACAGTACATGTACCTAACATATGTTTTCGGCTTGATTTGCACAGTTATATCTGAACACATGAAGTATGCATGTTCTTTTCTGAACGATACCTATGAACAATATAATGTGTTGCAATGCATACCATCTTTTACTGATCCAACAGAAAAATGAATGAACTTGCTTCCTATGCCCTTAAAAATCAATATTTAAACAGTAATTACATGTAAACAGCAACTATCTCTACCTTCTTTTTTGTCGATACACGTGTTTATAGACGACATAAAGGATTTTAGTAGGAAGCTACATAGGAAATCTTTACTGACAATGATATAGACAGGTTGTAACCGTTACGTCATAATAAAATCAATTAAATGACCTCACCACTAGGTAAAGCCGTTGCGTCCGATGACATCACCATTATGGCATTATAGACTTACGCTACACAATCTTCTTAAATGTATGCGTAAATGGTGCCAACGTTTCTATAAATGAATACACTTACAAAAACGTAAATCATTTATGCTCGACATGAAAGAAGCTATCTTAGCGATTCACAATTATCATGATGTCACTCAACTATCATTGAGATAAATAAATTAAAAGTTTGAATAAATATTGAATGTATACCTATTAAATCAGATTTACCTCCTGTAATCGAAAGCTGAATTATTGTGCATCTGTAACATGTGTCATCAATTCTATTTTCAAAATTCAAATTACCTGTCATGAAAAACAAGTTACTTGTTGTATACTGGGGAACGATTTTTGGAAAAGGTACAGTGCACTAGTAATTGTCACGGTTTGATTATACCATACATCCCTTAGTCACTAAAACATCATAACAGGGAAATAAGTTTACCAAAACATTGTTTAATTTATATACACTATTACAAATACAGTGACTGTTCATTTTCAATTCAAAGAAATCTCATCTCCGTCTTCAGTGATGCGTGCACACACCTGTTGATAAAAAAGAATCAGTAAACTTTACTAGAGAATACCTTGATTAGCGGAATAAATGTTAGTGAGGAAGCATATATCTTAGTGCAAACGGTTATGAAAACCTCCTGAACTTGAAATCGTTGACACTACAGACTCAGCATCAGCTGCTTTCGTCGATTTCTACTTACAACATGACCAATGGGATGCCTTACCTTTTAGTAGTACGATAAGCAAGGGCGATTTAGATTTTCCTGTTGTTAATTATCCCTTTCTTGATAGTAACATTCCTTTTTCCTAACCTACGGTGCTCACATGTCACAGATGATTCGGTATTCCGATGTTACTCCGAAAATTATGATTTTCGTGATAGATGTTGATTGCAGACGGACACACTTATAACACCAGGTTTTGATATATTGGTTGAAGAATACCATGGGCAAGATATATGGTAGCCATCATGATATCCATGAGATTAATGTTATTTCCGTATGCGAAACAAAAATCGTTGTTTTAGATTCGTTGTCATTGCTCCAGATCTCGTTTGTAGACATGACATTAAACGAAGAATTACATTTCAAGTGCCGTCGTTAAACCAAAACAATTCTTATCCTCACAGAACACTTGGCCTATTCTCTGTTTTCTTATCTTTCCGTTGTTAATATTTTTTCCTATTTTAAATATTATTGTTTGAATTACATTTTTTTTACACTTTGTTCTTTATGGGAAGACAAGAAAAGAAACCAAATCAAACAAACATCATGACCTTCCTCAAAAATCCGGAACACTGAGGGTTAACGGTGATGACCTACATATGTCAGACTGTATGATGTCTCAAAACAATATACATTTGTATGTGTCGGTCACCAACAGGTCAATACAAGGAACATGTGTATAACCATACAGTGAATATTTTAGTAGGTGGTATTGTGGTCGTGTATCAGGCATCGTATTGTTGTTTGGTTTAGTAGGTGGTATTGTGGTCGTGTATCAGGAATTGTTATTGCTGTTTGTTTTAGTAGGTGGTATTGTGGTCGTGTATGAGGCATTGTTATTGTTGTTTGTTTTCGTAGGTGGTATTGTGGTCGTGTATCAGGCATTGTGATCGTTGTTTGTTTTAGTAGTTGGTCTTGTGGTCGTGTATCAGGCATTGTTAATGTTGTTTGTTTTAGTAGGTGGTATTGTGGTCGTGGATCAGGAATTGTTATTGCTGTTTGTTTTAGTAGGTGGTATTGTGGTCGTGTATGAGGCATTGTTATTGTTGTTTGTTTTAGTAGGTGGTATTGTGGTCGTGGATCAGGAATTGTTATTGCTGTTTGTTTTAGTAGGTGGTATTGTGGTCATGTATCAGGCATTGTTATTGTTGTTTGTTTTAGTAGGGGGTATTGTGGTCGTGTATCAGGCATCGTATTGTTGTTTGGTTTAGTAGGTTGTATTGTGGTCGTGTATCAGGCATTGTTATTGCTGTTTGTTTTAGTAGGTGGTATTGTGGTCATGTATCAGGCATTGTTATTGTTGTTTGTTTTAGTAGGGGGTATTGTGGTCGTGTATCAGGCATTGTTATTGCTGTTTGGTTTAGTAGGTGGTATTGTGGTCGTGTATCAGACATTATTATTGTTGTTTGGTTGAGTAGGTGGTATTGTGGTCGTGTATCAGGCATTGCTATCGTTGTTTGTTTTAGTAGTTGGTATTGTGGTCGTGTATCAGGCATTGTTATTGTAGTTTGTTTTAGTAGGTGGTATTGTGGTCGTGTATGAGGCATTGTTATTGTTGTTTGTTTTAGTAGGTGGTATTGGGGTCGTGTATCAGGAATTGTTATTGCTGTTTGTTTTAGTAGGTTGTATTGTGGTCGTGTATCGGACATTGCTATTGTCGTTTGGTTTAGTAGGTGTAATTGTGGTCGTGTATCAGGCATTGTTATCGTTGTTTGGTTTCGTAGGTGGTATTGTGGTCGTGTATCAGGCATTGCTATTGCTGTTTGTTTTAGTAGGTGGTATTGTGGTCATGTATCAGGCATTGTTATTGTTGTTTGTTTTAGTAGGGGGTATTGTGGTCGTGTATCAGGCATCGTATTGTTGTTTGGTTTAGTAGGTGGTATTGTGGTCGTGTATCAGGAATTGTTATTGCTGTTTGTTTTAGTAGGTTGTATTGTGGTCGTGTATCGGACATTGCTATTGTTGTTTGGTTTAGTAGGTGTAATTGTGGTCGTGTATCAGGCATTGTTATCGTTGTTTGGTTTAGTAGGTGGTATTGGGGTCGTGTATCAGGCATTGTTATTGCTGTTTGTTTTAGTAGGTTGTATTGTGGTCGTGTATCGGACATTGCTATTGTTGTTTGGTTTAGTAGGTGTAATTGTGGGCGTGTATCAGGCATTGTTATCGTTGTTTGGTTTAGTAGGTGGTATTGTGGTCGTGTATCAGGCATTGTTATCGTTGTTAGGTTTAGTAGGTGGTATTGGGGTCGTGTATCGGACATTGCTATTGCTGTTTGGTTTAGTAGCTGGTATTGTGGTCGTGTATCAGGCATTGTTATTGTTTTTTGGTTTAGTAGGTGGTATTGTGGTCGTGTATCAGGCATTGTTCTTGTTGTTTGTTTTAGTAGGTGGTATTTTGGTCGTGTACCAGGCATTGTTATCGTTGATTGTTTTAGTAGGTGGTATTGTGGTCGAGTATCAGGCATTGTTATCGTTGTTTGGTTTAGTAGGTGGAATTGTGGTTGTGTATCAGACATTGTTATAGTTGTTTGTTTTAGTAGGTGGTATTTTGGTCGTGTACCAGGCATTGTTATCGTTGATTGTTTTAGTAGGTGGTATTGTGGTCGAGTATCAGGCATTGTTATCGTTGTTTGATTTAGTAGGTGGTATTGTGGTTGTGTGTCAGACATTGTTATCGTTGTTTGTTGTAGTAGGTGGTATTGTGGTTGTGTATCAGCCATTGTTATCGTTGTTTGTTTTAGTCGTTGGTCTTGTGGTCGTGTATCAGGCATTGTTCTTGTTGTTTGTTTTAGTAGGTGGTATTGGGGTCGTGTACCAGGCATTGTTATCGTTATTGGGGTCGTGTATCGGACATTGCTATTGTTGTTTGGTTTAGTAGGTGGAATTGTGGTTGTGTATCAGACATTGTTATCATTGTTTGTTTTAGTAGGTGGTATTGCGGTTGTGTATCAGACATTGTTATCGTTGTTTGGTTTAGTAGGTGGAATTGTGGTTGTGTATCAGACATTGTTATAGTTGTTTGTTTTAGTAGGTGGCATTGTGGTCGTGTATCAGGCATTGTTCTTGTTGTTTGTTTTAGTAGGTGGTATAGTGGTCGTGTATCAGACATTGTTATTGTTCTTTGTTTTAGTAGGTGGTATTGTGGATGTGTATCAGACATTGTTATCGTTGTTCGTTTTAGTAGGTGGTATTGTGGTTGTGCATCAGACATTGTTATCGTTGTTTGTTTTAGCAGGTGGTATTGTGGTTGTGTATCAGGCATTGTTATCGTTGTGTGTTTTAGGAGGTGGTATTGTGGTTGTGTATCAGCCATTGTTATCGTTGTTTGTTTTAGTAGGTGCTATTGTGGTTGTGTATCAGACATTGCTATCGTTGTTTGGTTTAGTAGGTGGAATTGTGGTTGTGTATCAGACATTGTTATAGTTGTTTGTTTTAGTAGGTGGTATTTTGGTCGTGTACCAGGCATTGTTATCGTTGATTGTTTTAGTAGCTGGTATTATGGTCGTGTATCAGGCATTGTTATCGTTGCTTGTTTTAGTAGCTGGTATTATGGTCGTGTATCAGGCATTGTTATTGTTGTTTGTTTTAGTAGGTGGTATTGTGGTCGTGTACCAGGCATTGTTATCGTTGTTTGTTTTAGTAGCTGGTATTATGGTCGTGTATCAGGCATTGTTATCGTTGTTTGTTTTAGTAGTTGGTCTTGTGGTCGTGTATCAGGCATTGTTATTGTTGTTTGTTTTAGTAGGTGGTATTGTGGTCGTGAACCAGGCATTGTTATGGTTGTTTGTTTTAGTACGTGGTATTGTGGTCTTGTATCAGGCATTGTTATTGTTGTTTGTTTTAGTACGTGGTATTGTGGTCGTGTATCAGGCATCGTATTGTTGTTTGTTTTAGTAGGTGGTATTGTGGTCGTGTATCAGGCATTGTTATCGTTGTTTGTTTTAGTAGGTGGTATTGTGGTCGTGAATCAGCCATCGTATTGTTGTTTGTTTTAGTAGGTGGTATTGTGGTCGTGTATCAGGCATTGTTATTGCTGTTAGTTTTAGTAGGTGGTATTGTGGTCGTGTATTGGACATTGTTATCTTTCTTTGTTTTAGTAGGTGTTATTGTGGTCGTGTATCAGACATTGTTATCGTTGTTTGTTTTAGTGGTCGGGTATCAGGAATTGTTATTGTTGATTGCTGTTTGTTTTTGTAGGTGGGATTGTGGTCGTGTATCCGACATTGTTATTGCTGCTTGTTTTAGTATGTGGTCTTGTGGTCGTGTATCTGACATTGTTATCGTTGTTTATTTTAGCAGGTGGTATTGTGGTTGTGTATCAGACATTGATATTGCTGTTTGTTTTTGTAGGTGGGATTGTGGTCGTGTATAAGACATTGTTATTGCTGCTTGTTTTAGTATGTGATATTGTGGTCGTGTATGAGACATTGTTATCGCTATTTGTTTTAGTATGTTGTATTGTGGTCGTGAACCAGGCATTGTTATCGTTGTTTAGTTTAGTAGGTGGTATTGTTGTCTTGTATCAGGCATTGTTTTCGTTGTTTGTTTTAGCAGGTGGTATTGTGTCCGTGTATCAGGAATTGCTATTGTTGGTTGTTTTAGTAGGTGATATTGTGGTCGTGTATGAGACATTGTTATCGCTATTTGTTTTAGTATGTGATATTGTGGTCGTGTACCGGACATTGCTATTGCTGTTTGCTTTAGTAGGTGGTATGTAGGTGGTATTGTGGACGTGTATCAGACATTTCTATTGTTGTTTGGCTTAGTAGATGGTATTGTGGTCGTGGATCGGGCATTGGTATTGTTG